TAACTCTTGATAGATTACACACAAATTTTCTAGCACGTTTTCTCTTCCAATACGAGATATCATGCTCTCAAATAAACCCCCATGCTTTTCCAAAAGCAATTTTAAATGGAAACGAAAAGTATTCACACTCAATTCAATGTTATTTTTCCTTAAAACACCCATTATTAACCCTTCCGCCATCTTGAAACAAAATGGCGACTAGTCGGAAAGCTCTCGTTGTTTTATCAGCCTCGGAGAATCTTCGGAAAATACGTCATCATTATGCAAATGAATTATCAGAAAGCTCTCGTTGTTTTATCATCATCGGAAAATCTGCGGAAAATACGTCATCATTATGCAAATTAATTATCGGAAAGCCCTCGTTGTTTTATCATCATCGGAAAATCATCGGAAAAATACGTCATCGATTATGCTAATTAATTTGCATAACTCATGAATTATTAAGGGTTAACCCCCTTAATTATGCGCATAAACGGGGTGTATTAAGCCCCTCACCTTACTACTAATATTCTATTTCTACTTCTATTTACCCCTTTGTGGCTTTTTTCGTGCTTTCACTATCCTTATCTGCCAATAATTTGGAGAGTTCACTTTCATTCAGCGAAGCAAATCTGCTGTAGGCCATTGTTTTTGTTTTTTTTCGCGCGCTTATAGGTTCAAGCTTTGGCCGCGCAAGGGTTTGGGCACGAGAGAGTCCAATAATATTTTTTTTGGATGCAAGTTCGATCCAAAAAAACAATTATTGGACGCTGATGACGTCATCGGCGGAAAATACGTAATAAATGCCGAATACTGAAAATTAGCCGGTGATTTCTGACCAATTAGAAACGAGAATACATATTAAATGTATAATAATAGTCATTAAACCACCCGCTCGACGAGGGTCATTTATTAAAATTCCCGAAAGCCGTAGGCCCGAGGGAATTTTAATAAATGACCCGAGTCGAGCGGGTGGTTTAATGACTAATACTCCTCATTTCATGATATTACTTTGTAATATTATTTTTGCGTGAATTTCACCCAAATCAATGTTCAGACACTGTCAATGATGTCGGTGGAGCGTTATAGTATGTCATAATTTTGTGATAATTTTGCTCAAACTTTCCAGGTGAAGTGGTAATACTAATACGACCCGTAGTGACGTCAACTGAGGTCGTATTAGTTCTAATACGACCTGTACATTTGAGTAGGCGAGTGAATTAGTTACTAATACAGCACAATAGAACAATAGAAATTCACGCAAACATGATATTATTTAAATTATGACACTTACCCACATTTGTCAATATTTTCCTTTTCCAACTTCAAAATTAAAATAACCGAAGTTCAAGCTACATTTTGCTGTTTAATAAAAGTCCATTTTTCTTGAATCCGGTTGCGTCTTGTTCAAATTGAATCAGTTTCTGAAAACCCTTGCCGTTAACAATGCCATTACAACTTGTTGGCAGATTTGGTACAGATTTGTGAACACAGCTACAAGCTTGCTGGAACGGAGTTTGTTACAACTTGAGAACGATATGCTTGGTACAAGTAGTTCCAGCAACTTGCTACAGGTCTGGAAACTACAAGCTGTTTCCACTAACAACAACATAACAAGATGTGATATTTTTACGTGTGTAGTTGAATACAACCATTAAACAATTTTTTAATGATGAGTTCGAGTGGGATATGAGGAATTATTAAGGCCGAGGTTTGTGTTATCTACAGAAGCCGAAGGCAGTGGGGGACAACACAAACCGAGGCCTTAATAACTCCTCATATCCCGCGAGAACCGAATTCAATAATTGTTTCATTATTTAATTGTCGAAATACACAAAAAAGGTCGGCGAACCTTTCCTTTGAGGAAGCCATTTGTATCTTCCTGCTTTTGGCATAAGTCGCATAAATTAGCGTGACGTCATGTTACATTGTTTTTAATATACCACGTACGTATACGTCAAACGTGGTAATCCGTGGGTATGACTCCAAACTTGGGCAGCTACCGAGCGGATATAACGATTTCACCGACAGCTCTGAGCCAATCAAAACTCTTAAATTATTTCCATTAAATAATATTAATGAATTAATTGACGTGTCATTTATTAATTAATATTAATTAATTGATAAATCTAATTGAGTAAACTTACTTAATCTTAATTAATTAATTAATTAATCTTATTGATTAATTAATTAATAATAATAATAATAATTAGTTTTTTATATAGCGCATCTTCCATAAATGTCCAGATGCGCTTTACAACTTATAACTTACAATATTTATACAACAAT